ATTGCTTAGGACCTTTTCATGCCTGCATTCATTTGCCTGTTCAGAAGTTCACTGGTAAGGTTGGGCAGCAACTTTGGTCGCCGTCTGCTGGCTACTGAATCTGCAGCCGAAAAGATATCTTTGACCTTTGCTTCGCCGAGCCAGGTAGATGCATACGTTCGTAGCTGCTTTATATACTTTGTTTTTTGTATGTTTCAGGTGTTTTATTCGAATGTGCAGGTGCTTCAGGTAACGGCTCCAACAATTGACGGCGAGGTTGGCGTCTATCCGACTCATGTCCCTTTGGTTGGAGTATTACGGCCAGGTATTGTAAGCGTTCAGGAAGATGCCAGTACGGCTAAAAGACTATTCGGTAGGTTAAGATGATGCTCTGCCGGTACTGAGTACATTGAATACGTATTTCCTTACATAGCTATATGTTCAAACGGTCCCCAACTTAATAATAGTTTGACTCAAAGCGCGAGGTTTAGTGGTCTTATAAGGCGGTTTGCGGTGTAACCCAGTATTAAGACTGCCATCCGTCTTACACTACCGCAGTATTGCTCGAAAGTAAATCACGTTACAGTTTTTGCCATGTAAATACAATATCAGTGGTTCAAAGTTGTGATTTCGTGTAAAAGACACATTTCGACATTAAAACTGCTCTGCGACATCTACTCTCACATTATGTTTCTTAAATAAGTTGTTTCCATGAATATTTGATAAGGTATTGTTTTCGTCACAAACATATATTGGCTGCCTCTTTAACAAATTTTATGAAACAGTACGGAGGATAGTAGTCTGACTTTGTACCTTGAGGTGCGGAATTCGAATCGAATAGATTAAAAGAGAATATTTCCTTCTGCGAAGCAGTATCCGAGGTGTTCTGCCAAAATGGTTTTATAGAGCTGCGAGCAGAAAGGACATCACAGACACTCCACCCCTTACACACACATACAACACACACAGACCTGGGAACAGGAAGCGCAACGTAGTGGGATAATGCCGAGACCTGCGGTCGCAGTTTCTGACCCGTACTCTTTGCGGCTGCAATTTGATTCAGCCAATTTGATTACTATCGAGAAATCAACACGATATACGAGACGCTAATTTAAGATTTAAATTATACACTCATTATCGTAATAATTCGTTTTCGCATACACTCATTCATTCGAATATTCCTTTATTCGTTCGTTTATGCATTGATTACGTCATTTACACATTCATGTCGTTCTTTGGGTTGTCATTCGTTCCCGTGTTCATTTCCCTTAATTCATTTATTCCCTCAGTCACTGGTGTCATTAATTCTTCATATCTTTCGTTTTTATTTCTTCCTTGCTTCCTTCGTTCTTTGTTAGCCTATTTTTTACTTTAATCTCTTTTAAAGCTACCCTTGCGATGATTAAGTTGGTTCGGTCAATGCCTGTGTAACATTTAAAATCTTTCTCTGTTAAAGCCTTGCTTCTCGTAGCGGAATACAGTAAATCAAAATCCAGGTATTCTCAGAAGATACCGCTATTACCTGTTCACATTGAACGTGACGCATAAGTACTGAAGGCGTCACATAACTTTGTATGTATGGACAGTTTTTGTGTGTTTTAAAAGGGTGAATAGTGAATATAGAATGTGTCGATAGAGTAGTGAGAAATGTTCTAAGATAATGGAGCAGAGATGAGATCGTTACTTTCGAACGCAAAAGACTGAACTCCTCGTTAGAACGCAATAGGTGTGGTGTAGAAGATCACTTGACATGCAATTTGTGACACTTCGACCAGACTTCATGGCAACTGCAGATGAGAAATTTATTGAACCCAGATAAACCAGCGAATGATCTATCATGGGTTAAGGAACATTGGAAAAATTGGAAATAACTCCGGATTGGCCCATAGTCACATTAATTCCCATACAGCATCCTACTGATTTCGATGATACATGGTATGGTAAATATCTTCAAAATGGTCTTGTTATACGATTCAATGATCGAACTGTATGAAAACGGACCACGGATTAAAAATTTCATAAGCCTCGTTAGCCTAAACACGACTTTTAATCCTTTTTGGTTTTCGATACTGGATTGAAGCGGCGTACGCACTTAGGCCATTAAAAGCAAGGGGACGGTGCCTACCATCAACCCTGCCTAGTGATGCGGTTTTGCATCCATGCACTGCAGGTGCCCAAATTCCATGGAGCCGTGGCCTGCTTAAATGGCAGGAGGACGGTGCTTACGCCGCTTCATTCCGGTATCGAAAACGAAAAAGGATTATGTATCTTAGCGGCGGTATCGAATAGTAACAGTATTCCAGTAAACCCATATCAGGTTTAACTTTTCTGTGTAAACATGATTAGCATGGCTAAAACGACTGAAACGATGAAAAAGAGCCTGGTCGTTTCATCGGTATCCCTCAACAATACAGAGAAATAAATTAGAGGATTTTTCACATCTGTGGACTCGAATTGCACTAACAGCTGAAGACAAATCTCCATTAATTGATGTCAAAAAATGCTGTTCAGAATGCACACACAATTCCTCCAAGACAAAATTTCTTTGTTTGTAATTGCCTAATGGAGCATTTAAGGAAGCCACAACTCGATGATATTTCAGCATCTGTTGCATGAAACACATTTTGCTAACTAGAACCA